TCCCAGTAGGTTCCATGTCGTAAACTTCCCACTACGTCCAACAGCACCAAGCTGGAAAGGAATCCGTTAACCCGAGTCCTTAGAGAACATGACAGATCCAAGCTACAGCACAGCTTTAATAGAAGTACAGGTTGAGATTATCCTAAAACGATTCCTGTGTGTTTCTTGTAATACTTGAAGAAGGGAGACATCTCGAAGTCCACAGCATTTCTCTATCACAGGACTCGGGGTACACATCTGCCAACTGATGCTTCTGCAAAACCTATGCTGGAGAGTGAGAAGGGTGAGCCCTAAGAAGAGAGCAAACCACAGCTGGCCCCTCTCTGAGGGAACCAATAGTAGATAATTGTGGATATGCAAGCCATAGACAGGAAGAAGCAGCAAGGCTTTCACACACAGTGTAGATGTTGCTAGGTTGTGTGTGTGTGTGTGTGTGTGTGTGTGTGTGTAGTGTAATACTCTTATTCTTTGAACACTTTATATAATGTATTTTAGACATATTCAATACCTCCCATTACCACCATCTCCACCCACCCACCCTTCCACACCCAGCTTTAAGATTTCTCCTCCCCCTTCCCCTCCTCCTCCTCCTTCTCTCACTAGGCTCAGGTTGTGTTGACCACCTCATCTTGGGAGTGGGGCCTGCCCTGATGTGTGATAAAACTGTATCATCATTAAAGAAAACAGACTCTCCTGTCTCCCAGCAGCTATCAATGTGAGTATCTCTTCTGCTACTGGCGGGATGATGATGATGATGATGATGATGATGATGATGTGTGTGTGTGTGTGATTTTGTGTCCACCTCCCCCATCCATGCTGGGAGTTTTGTCTGGCTGGGTCACTTTATTTGGTGGTGAGCCTCCTGACATCTAAGCTGTTCACATGTTATAATGTCAGAGTGTAGGGTTCCAAACATCTGAGCTATCCCCACATTGCTAAAAGTCAATGTGTAGAGTCAATGGTAGTGAGACTGGCCAGTTCCAGAAGGACAGATACTGATGATTTCACTACATGAGAAGGGGGGTGTTCAAATACAAAGAGACAGAAAGCAGAACAGAGGTCAGCCTAGCTGGGGGGAGAGTGAGGGAGAGTGATTGTTTAAGACCTCCGTTAAGGTAGTAGACATCTTTTCTACACACAGACAGGGATAGGAGCTGCGCAAGTACATGAATATACTTAATTACACACTTAAAACATGGTTAAAGCGATCAACCTCAAATGAATTTACTAAATAAACAAAATCTAGGGATGAACCACTCACTCACCGAATTCTGTGGGAGCCATTCAGTGGGAGAGCCTGGCACCCCAGGTGCATCATCCTCTGCCTGCCCACATGGTACTGTACTACAATGTTCTGAGAGGCCGTCTTCCCTTATGACCCTTCAGCAGACAGAAGGGCCTTCCTTCCCGGCCTGACTGGTGCTAAGAACCCAGGTGTCTTTTGTTGAAGGCCATTATTGTCCTTCTCTGAGGTGTGCTGTGTGCGGCCAGATCCCTTCCTGCAAGTCACTGCTTTGGGAGAGAATTCAAGGCTCTGGTCTAGACTTCTCATTCATCTGCCTCCTTCTCCAAGTCTATGCCCAACTGCTGTGTTCCCCTTCTATTCTGCACACGGAGAAAGGGGAGGAGAGAAGACACATACCCCCCATAAACACACACACACACACACACACACACACACACACACACACACACACACACACGGGGTTGGGGGAGAGTCTTGTTCCATATTAGAATCACTTGGGGAACTTAAAATTTTTTGATTTAACTTCTATGCGTAAAGAACAAAATAATTTTGTTTTGGGGTTATTTTTGCTTTAAATTCTCCAAAACATCCTACTTGGTAAACAAGGTAGGGAGTCACCGGAATCACTGTTTGTGCTTGAGTTCTTTATTTCATTTTTTTTTTTTTTTTTTTTTGAGACAGGGTTTCTCTGTGTAGTTTTGGTGCCTGTCCTGGATCTCACTCTGTAGACCAGGCTGGCCTTGAACTCACAGAGATCTGCCTGGCTCTGCCTCCCGAGTGCTGGGATTAAAGGCGTGCACCACCACTGCCTGGCTCTTTATTTTATTCTTAAACACCAGAGGCCCTCCCACTTCTTCCTGTCTCGGTCAGTGGTGAGTTTGCCCCTCCCTTCCCAAGCTTCCGTTCACCATGGTATCTGTAATGCATACCACAGTGCCTGGCACAAAGGAAGGAACCTAGTATCTGTAACGAGCTGTATCCGTCCCACTCACAAATGAGCAGCTGAGACTGGGAGAGGCTAAGTCACGACCCCCAAACTACACATCCAGAGCGTCGTGGGGCTGGCATTCGGATCTAACTCTCTCACCGTAATGTATGTATAGTACAGTGCTTCCAGCTTGGATAAACTGCTTGCATGAAATGAAGCGTTTCTACCCAACACATTTGAAACACAAGTGGACTGCAGGGAGACTGTGAATCCACGAGGAACACACATCCCAGATCATTCCACTTCTTTGGGGGCTTCTTAGAAGTTTTCACAAAACGTGTGGATGAGCCTAACAAAAGGCCAAGGACTGCTGAGACTTCATGGCTGTTCTCAGAGGGACATTCTCTTCACAGGACTCAACATGCTCTTTTCCAGAAATCTAGACTTAAAACAAAACAAAACAAATGCGAAACAGTTTCCACTACCAAGTTTCTAAGCAAACATCAGAACAAGCCAGAAAGAGAATACCGGAAGCTGGAATGCCCCTCCTATCTCCCACCAGGACAGCTTGTGACCAGCCATTCAGTTTTAGGAACAACCTGTAAATCGGGTGCTCAAGACAGGATTTCCAGTATTCCTGGGGCTCTGCTCATGCTCTGTGCTGTTTCCCACTCAAGGCAAACAGAGCTGAAACCACCCCATGGCCTGGCTAGCACAGAGAGCCTGCCACCATAGACACACCCACATGAAACTACTTTGCACAACACAGAGTGCTGTTGACATCTGAGGCTTACTGATGTCCTCCCATGAACTCCCCTCCCTGCTTAAGAGAGGAGCCCGGCTGCCAAGTCCCAGGTGACATGGGAGAGCGCCAAGGGCTTTCTTCTCGGTACCCAACCCTGCCTTTCATTATGGAAAACTTTTAAGTACATACAATAGTAAGTAAACATCGCTGCCTGTACTTGAACCAGACAGTAAACACAGCGTGTCCAAGTCTGTGATTAAACGGTGAGTCAGGCCACAGAGAGGTCTGCCCCCAATACTCCAGTGCCATATGGTAGGTCAGGCCACTCCATAGTAAGTGTTGGCACCGATGAATCAGGACACCTCTTGTGTTAGCCTGGCAGTCTAGAAATCTCACAGTTAGCCTGCTAGTTACCACAAGCTTGTCATAGGACCTGTTGGAATTTTATGGGGAGATTTTCATGGAATTACCCAGTGGGAATAGCCTACCAGCCCAGTAAATCTCAGTTAGGAGTAGTTTGAGCCCGGTGCTATAGGGTGAGTCCCAGTTATATTGTTTATTTGTCTTAGGACCTTGAACAACTTATATCACATCTCCTAGTATGCTTTCTACTAATTTGTGATGGGGAGACAGCTAAAGGGGTATCCTAAGAATTAAATGACAAACCGTAAGGAAAACCCTCAGCCTCAGCACGGCCAGCTTTCATTTTAAACGTTTGTTCAGTAAGTCATAGTGTGTCACACTGTGAGTCACAACCATTAGTTCTTGCAACCGTCTCCCACTCCCAGCTCTACTGATGGCCTCCTACCCAGAAGCCAGTCCCCTAGGGCCGCACTGTCTCCTGGCCACCTCACTGAGACTTCCTGTCCTAATACTCCCAGTCTGTGGGTGGCAATGTGAGTTGTACAATCAAAGCTGCTGTGATTTAGCAGATGGTGACGTCTCTTGGGTTTGATCCTTCGAATCCAATACACAAGGGCTTGTTGGGGAAGGATATAAAATGTTCAAAAAGTTAATTGTTTATTTATGTCTTACCTAACTCACAGATAGTTATGGGACCTTTAAAAAAAAGTGTGTGTGACATTTTTTTAAAAGATATGCCATAGAATCCAGAGAGGAAAACAGCCAAATCATGTCCCAGGCAACCTTGGGATGGATAGATACAAAGTTACAGGTAAATCAGGTTATAAATGCCCTGCTACTGATGGGAAAAAGGAACAAATGACCAATTATAGCATCCACATAGACCAGCATATGTCTTGTATGGGAGGCACTGTTACAAGCATTTTATCTGTAGCAACTCACTTGATGGTCGCTGTTAACTTCCACCCCCATCAACTGGTCCTGCTGCTGGTGGTGGTGCTTAGATGAATAGGAAATTGAGGTGCCAATGGGCTAAATAAGTAGCCTCGCTTAGTCATTTGGCAGCACTAAAATTTGAGCCCTGGTCACCGGGGTTCACAGCCCATGCTCTTTAGGACCGAACAACACTGTTTTGATAGACAAGGTTGCACAGATGAACGGCAGGCCGGGGCCGTGCACATGACCCATTGCCTCCATTGGAGTCTTTACAAAGCATTTTAACAGACCACATACCTCCCAGATGTTGGAGTTTCCAGATCAGTTCATTTTGTTTTTAAATGGTAGATATAGAAATATATGGCATATGGATGGCAACCTCTTTTTGTTTGCATGCATTGGGTGTGAATATCAAAACAATAATAATCGCCAGAGAATCCCAACATCATTTCATAAAACAAAAGGCCCTACACACAAAGCATAGAATGGAAATAATCAAAAAAAAAAAAGTAAGGGATGCTATTTCTGAATGAGAGTAAAGGTAGCCTTGTGAAAAATGGATGCTATTCATAGGACTTTCATTCGGCCCCTGCTGGGGGATGGCCATGTAGACAATACCAGTGGTGCAAGGACTACCACGTGGGGATCGCCAGCAACCTCCCCTTCTGTTTCCTCCATGACCTCAGAACACCCAAACTCTAGCAGCCACCTTATACTCCATTCTCCTCCTGCTGAATCCCGGGAAGTTTTTAAAATTCATCTCCCAGGAACCAGATGATGTAATCTGACCATAGGACTTGGAAGGTCATAAAGAGGGGTGTGAGTGGGAACCCATGAGCTTCACAGTCATGTTCACAGTGCTGACAAATATGAGCACCCCACTGCGGGGGTTGAGGTACCCCACACTGATGACTCTCAGCCAGTGTTTAGTCTGGACTGACTGGTGACTGCTACCTTTGAAAGAACGTGGTATAGGGCTGGCCTTGGTGACACCTACCTTTCATTTGAGCATCTGGGAGGCAGAAAACAGATGGATATCTGTGAGTTCAAGGCTACCCAAGGCTACCTGGTGAGAGCATGCTCCTGGTGCTGAACCACGAGTGACATTTTTCTCTTTTCATTTGTAAAGAATTTTATACTGCTTGTAAATTTGTGCTAAATACACTGGATGCTTTCAGAGGCTGAATTGAACCACCTCGTGTGTTCAGGGTGTTGTTTTAATACCTACAGCCCCTATATTTCCATTAGAATGTAATTATCTTGTTGAGAAAAAAATTCAAGGTCTCTGGGTTAATGGATCTCACCTTTCACTTTTTTTGTCCATAAATAATAAATCAAATGTAATATTTAAAATGAAAACCACATCCTATATATCATGATGTTTCTGGTGCTTTCTTCCTAGGACCTTTGAATAGTGGCCCTAACAATGATCCTAACAGTTGCAGTCCATCAAGTTCCCTGGCTTGGTGAGAGAGTAGACGGCACACGACTGTTAGGTTGATGTTCATCAATAGTACAGCAGTCCAGAACTTTCTTCTGACATTTTCAAATCAGATTACTGTACATCCTGCTCTAAGTTTGAAGAGCCTGTCACAGGATGATTCATATACAGAAAACCTCACACGCTTTATCCAATAAGTATTGACAAACACATCCACTTAAAAATCTTCTAAATCAAATATAAATTCCAGTGTGTTCCTTGGCTTCCAGAGCAGCTCCTCAACAGACCTTGTGAGTAGCCAGCAGATGGAACTCCTGACCCAACCACCACTAACCGTCTCCAGGTAAAGTTCTGCTGCCCCGAGTTTCCCTAATGAAGGGACAGAATTTCCTGGCAGCTAACTAGCTGAACAGGGCTCTCAGCCCCAAAGCGTCCAATCAATGCTTTCACTTCAGTCTTCCCAGGGGATCAACTAAGCAATCACTCCGTAGCTGGCACATCGAGATTTATAAGACAGAATAAGGATGCATAGCCTAGAGGGCTGCAGAAAACCATTTGTCATGAGTAACGCAACAGCAGCAAAACCCTGCCCAGCTCACGGTAACTTCTATTAGATCGGTGTGAACCTCAAAACTAAGGCTGCGGGCCCCATGAGATGTTGAAGATGTTTTCAAATAAAAAGAAGATTATAGTGCACCACTGAGCCTGCTAGAAGGAATTGTTAGATGCTTCTAATCACTCTCCCAAATCATGCAAATGAACTCCACTTTTTGCTTGAGGTACCATCATTGTCACACACCAGCCTGGCACATAGCCCTTGCCCAGTCACTGAGCTGCAGTGACCTCTCAGCTCAGCCAGGGAACAGGAATTTTTAACCTGTTATCAAAGACAGCAAGGAACCAGTCACTGGTTCCCATAAGCAATGCAGCTTTTATACTCACTTGACATTTTTTTTAATTAGGATTGTTACTAAATTAATAGATAGTCAACACATGGTAATTGTTTTTTTTTTTAGAAGACATATGTTTGCCAGCAATGGCTTACTTTTATATAATCAACAACAATAACAATTACTGTGGTTAATTCCATTTTCTCCTGTTGGTTACTGGTCTAACTAGCAGCTTTCATTTAGACCCTGAGAACATCTTGTGGGCTGTGACAGTGTGTTACCTAATTAAGGCTGTGCTATCTGTCAGCACACAGCATGGGAGTTGACATTATTCATCCTGTAGGCAGGATTTTCACAGTATTCATTCATAATGCAAGCATTTTTGGCTTTGAAATGTATCTAAGTTTCACAAGGAGGTTTTCATAAGATATGAAAGCTTTATGCATCATCAGGGATGCACCTCTTTACTTACTACCAGATGTTTTACATCTGTTTCATGTGAGACTGAAGTAGACCGACTGGCATTTATCAAGAGGCAGATTTCTTGACAGAAGCGGGTGCATTTCTCCAAGACTGATTTCAGCTCTGACATTATTCATGTAATAAAATTCTGGGAAACTGTAGAATAGTAATCACATATCACTTCAACCAGATGGCTAAAATTTTTAAATCATTGGACTAACTATACATATGTGGGGGGCGCAGTATATTTTAATACATGTACATAATGTATAAACCTGGGTAACTGGCATATCCATCCCTTATTACCATTCTTTATGTTGGGAACATTCCAAATCCTTTCTTCTAGCTACTTTGAAGTATATAATGAATTATTGTTAACTATAGCCACCATATTGTACTGTAAAGCAGTAGACCTTATTTCTCCTAAGCAAATGATTTTTAAAAAAAATAAACTTTGAGTTTACAAGAATTAATAAATAAGGACTAGCTTGGACCTTTTCATGTAACTCATGAGCCTCAGTAATGTGTGCAAAGTACTATATAAAACCAGACCGATGGGTTGAGTGGTTCTTTAGAATATAGCAAGAGTCAAACCAGAAGCATGGTCTGGGAACACAGGTATGGCTGTACCCTACCACAACACTTTATTACTAATGGAGCTTGGGCTGTCGGTCAGTTGGAAGGGACACGCTGACATGGCTCCACAACACTCAGATGTTATCCAAGTTTCTTTCCCTCGGGTGACAACACACTGGCTCCCTTGATAATCAACAACAGTACCCAATCACTGTTGCTAATTCCATTCTCTCCTGTTCATTAGACCATACATGGTCTAGCTAGCAGTTTTCATTTAGTCCTTGAGAACATCTTATGGGCTGTGACAGTGTGTTACCTAATTAAGGTTGTGCGCTCTCTCAGCACACAGCAACGTTCACATTATTTATTCTGTAGGCACCTGCACACTGTGGAGGTGCCCCAGGCAATACCCGAGAACTTACTTCAGCACTCAGCTTTTCTTTTGGCCTAGAAGCTCTTGTGTAAACAGAACTGACTCCATGGGCCTCCCGGGAGCTCCATTTGCTGTGTGTTAGAAAGGCTTCACTCAGCTGCCCCTAGAGGCTCAGGCAGCCCGACCCTGCACAAGACCTTGGAGCCCACGGAGGACCACAATAAGGTTCTATGGGAGCCTTCAAAACAGCCCCAGCTGGTAATTCCCAGCTAGTCACAGGCTGGCCAATCCAATGCCTGCTCAAAATTTCAGTTTGATCCATCACAACAATTTTGATCTATCCATGATATTCCATGATTAAACAATGAGAATGTTGATTTTTTTTTTTTTTTTTTTTTGGTTTTTCGAGACAGGGTTTCTCTGTGTAGCTTTGCGCCTTTTCCTGGAACTCACTTGGTAGCCCAGGTTGGCCTCGAACTCACAGAGATCCGCCTGGCTCTGCCTCCCAAGTGCTGGGATTAAAGGCGTGCGCCACCACCGCCCGGCGAGAATGTTGATTTTTTAAATGCTAGAAATACATGATTTCCCCCACTTTTACTTTCTCAGTGAATATGAATTTATTGTCAATGAAACCTACCTCCTCTTTGGCATTTCCCATAACCAACGACCTAGTCCAGGATCTGCAGATCAGTTACTCAAATGCTTTCTAAGTCCATTTTGTCTCTCCTCTATCAGTATGGTCACCATATGACCTCCAGTCATTGATCCAAATGATATTCCAGTCAGTGGCTTCCTATTGTGAAATCCTCAAAGAGTTGTTCCACTCCCTATATTAAGTCCAGACTTTATTGTAGTATCTGATATCAAATCTTACCTCAACTGACATTTCCTTTGTTGTTTATTTTTGATATTATAATTTACTTATTTAATTTCATTGGAAACAGTTTTTTTTCCGTACAGTATATTCTGATTACAGTTTTTCTATGCCCAACTCTTCCCAGATCCTCTCTACTTCCCCACCCAGCCAAATCCACACCCTTTCTTTCTCACTCTCATTAGAATATAAACAGATATCTAAAATAATAATAATAATAATGTTAAAATAAAAACAAGTCAAAATAGGACAAAACAACAGAATAAAAAAAGAGCCAAAGAAAAACCACAAAAAACCCAGCTGCTGAGACACAAGTATTCACACACACAGAAAACCCTTAAAAACAAAATTGGAAACAGTAATATATAAACAAAAATGTATAAGGTAAAGGGACAAAGGTGAGCAGACAAAGCATTGTGAGACAACAAAAAAATCTTTAAAGATACCATTGAGTCCAGTTTATGTTGGCCATCTACTGCTGAACATGGGGCCTGCCCTAAAGTGTGGTTTGAATACCCAGTGAGACTCCACTGGAGAGAATGAATTTTCCTCTGTGACCAGTTGTCGATTGGAGACAGCTTCTGGGTTAGGGACTGGGGCTTGTGTCCACTATCCCTCTCCCCACTGGTTCTTACAATCTTTTCTCCTCTGCTTCTGCAGAGTTCCCAGTGCCCTGAGGGGAGGGATTTGATGGCGATATCCCATTTAGGACTGAATGTTCCAAGGTCTCTCACTCTCTGCACACTGTCCAGTTGTGGTATCTGTGTTTGCTCCCGTCCGCTGCAGGAGGAAGCTTCTCTGATGATGGTTGAGCTAGGAGTATAGCAGAATGTTGTTAGGAGTCACTTTGCTGTTGTGTTCCTTTAGTAGAACAGTAATATTCTTCCCCTAGGTCCATGGTCTATCTGGTGTCAGGTTCTTGGCCATCTGGGCAGTGTCCAGCATGGGTTCCATCTCTGGGAGTGGGCCTTAATTACAACAAATACTAGTTTGTTATTCTCACTTTTGCGCTGCTTTTTGTACCAGCTCACCTTGCAGGCTGTGCACCATTGTGGACGGCAGAGTTTGTAGCTGGGTGGGTGTTTACCTTTCTCCTCTGGTAGCGAGCAGAGTGCCTTCCAGTACTAAGAACAGTAGTCGGTAGGGGTGAAGGCTCTAGGTAGGCACCAGCTCCACTTCTCCATGTTCAGTGAGTTGTGTAGGTGTTAACTTCAGAAATGGGGCTTAGCTAGCAGTTTGTGGAGAACAACCAATAGCCTTAGCAATAGCCTTGGTTGTTTGGGGTTTCCATGGGGCCCTTTGGGGCAACAACTTGTTTAAATGTAACCCATTCCTGGCATTCGGGGTTTCATTTGGTGGCAAGAGATGTCTAGTTGGGGCTTTGTCTCTCCCATTATTTGATTGTTTCATTATTTATCTTTATTTCATACACATATATATTTTAAGAAGCTTCTACTGGATTCCATACCAACCTCAGCAAACACATCCTCCCACCTCCCAAGACCTCAATAATAAGGACTTGTAGATTCAAGGATCTCCAAATTCAATCTGGCCTTAGCTCAATATAGAATGAGTTAAGCTTGATTACAAGCTGCTTTCTTAGCCCAAAACTTACCTGTTTGTGTAGCTAGAGTTTTCCTGCCTGGCCCACAGTCAGGACAAATCTTTGTCACCCGCCAGTCCCACAGCTGCTCAGACCCAACCAAGTAAACACAGAGACTTATATTGCTTACAAACTGTATGGCCATGGCAGGCTTCTTGCTAACTGTTCTTATAGCTTAATCAATTTCCATAAATCTATACCTTGCCACGTGGCTGGTGGCTTACCAGCGTCTTCACATGCTGCTGGTCATGGCAGCAGCTGGCAGTGTCTCTCTGCCTCAGCCTTCCACTTCCCAGAATTCTCCTCTCTCCTTGTCCCACCTACTTCCTGCCTGGCTACCTACTTCCTGCCTGGCCACTGGCCAATCAGTGTTTTATTTATTGACCAATCAGAACAATTTGACATACAGACCATCCCACAGCACATTTGACATAAAATCTTTTGCAAGTATAGACTTTCTTTAAAGAATCAAAAGGTGATCCTTGGAGTAGCAACCATTTTAGTGTATTTCTTCAAATGGTGGGGAGTGGCTGGGGATTGAACCCAGGGCCTCACACACACTGGGCAAGTGTTTGACCACTGAGCAATGCCCCAGTCCAGCTGTCTCTGCCTTCATACAGCCTTCCCTCCAAAGCTACTGGCTTAAAAATAATTTATTTAAGTAGCCAATCATGCAAACAACCATTATTTATAAAGCTTACTATGTGTCCTGTATGTTGAAAATTTGCATGGCATGTTGGCTCTATACTGCCAAAGAGAAATATGTTTTTCTAAGCATTCCAGTTATTGAAACACTTAATATTTGAGGGAGGGATAGGCTGTGGCGTGGTAAGCACATTCACTCCTATACTGACTGCATAATGTCTAGAATTATTAAATAAAAATTATAAGTTGGGGTGATAGAGATGGCTTAGCAATTGAGAGCGTTTGCTGCCCTTCCAGAGGACCTGAGTTCAGTTCCCAGCACCCACATCAGACAGCTAACAACTATCTGTGACTTCAGCTCCAGAAGAACTGATACCCACTTTTTGACCCTCCCAAGGTACCCACACATAGGTGCACAAGAACATGCATATGCACACACACACACACACACACACACACACACACACACACACAGGGACATACACAGAGACACATACAGGAACACACAGAGAGAGAGAGAGACAAATATATAAACAAAAATAAACCTTTTAAAAATGATAAAAAGAGACTGAGAAGTTGAGGCACTATGTATCCCTATAAAGTCACCTTCAAACTCATTTAAGATGTCAGAGTTGAAATTTTTGTTCATGCTTCTATTACCAGATCTGACCTTCAAATGTCCCTCAAGGACCAAATAGCATCCAAGTGGAATATGTTCTTGTCCTAGAACCATGCTTTCAACTTCAAACCTGGAGCTGAGAAATTCAAAAACATTTCTCTTAAAATAAAGAGACTAGTAAGAGTCATTGGTGATGGACGAAAACTCAAACCTGTCTTTCTTTTATGTAAACAAATTCACCTTTGCTAAGAAACAGTGCTTATCACTGTGTTCTGTGCAGATCCCGTGGGCAGGGAGGCAGCCTCCCGACCCTGTGCTGGGGCATCAGGGTATGGAATGGCACAGGCCCCGAGTCCCACTCAGTGTGCACAGACAGGGGAGTAAACAAGAAGAGAAATGACTTCCTAGGTAAGTCGTGTTTCTTCACAGATGCAGGCAAGTTTTAAACCACCACTGCTCCATTCACGATATAAGGCAAGGTCTTTAGTTTTTCCAGGAGATAAATGTGGTATGTGTATGCATGCATGTGTGTGTGAGTGTCTGTCTGTCTGTATGTATGTATGTGTCTGTGTGTCTGTCTGTGTCTGTATGCCTGTCTGTGTCTGTGTGTCTATGTACAGCATTCCTTTCTACCTTGAAAGCTCTGATTAAGTAGCTCAGAGATGGGATCAGGAATCAATTCCTTAAAGACTCTCCAAATCATTTTGATGAGACCATCCTTGAAAAACACCATATTTTTCCAATTTCACATCAACATGTCCCTTTGCCCCGGCCCATCAACACTTCTTTTTTTTACTCTTTCGCTGTCTCTTAGTCGTGTTCTAATTTTTAAGTTTTACCCACATTTACACATTCATCCATATGTATCAAGCCAGCATCTGCATATGAGAGGGAACATGCAGTTTTTGTCTGCCCACTTAATATAGTGTTTCCCAGATCCATCCATTCTCCTGCAATTTTCATAAACCACTTTTCTTTACAATTGAGTAAAATTCCATTTTGTCTCCGTTCCACATTTTTCCTGATCCATTTGTCTGTGCATGGGCATCTACACTGACTGCATTTTCTTGTTATTGTGAACATAGAAGCTGTAAACAAGGATTTGCAAGGTGAGATTAGGTGTCCTTTGAGTATCTAGAGATATCAAATTTAAAATCATTATTTAAACTCCATAGGTTTGAAAAAAATTACTTTTAAGGTGCAGAGGTAACTGCTGCCTTGGAGAAATACCGTCAAGACAATGGTTGGTTTTATGAACTAAGAACAGGAAAATAGTCAATGGCACCACTGTGGAATCATGGGAAAATGGCCAAGAATGAGCGATGCTGACAAAGGACACACGGCCTGGGGAGGCTGGGCTGTAGAGGGAAGACCTACAACATGGACGACAAGGTTCCACTGGGAGGGTCTGGTTTTCAGGACTCGGGTGGCCTAAAAGCATCACATGGGAGGATTACCCCCCATCCTGACTTCTCTCCTTCACATTGTGGAAGTGTGGACGAGGGCCAGTCACTCTCAGCCAGGTTTTGAAGTGCACCATTTGGGAGCCAGATGTCCATTAACGCTAATTGGATCAGCGGCCTCCTCCTCATCTCACTGACACGAGGATGGCAGAGCTGCCCCTTCCTTCTGCAGCATTAAAATTTAAGAACACCATCATCTATACAATAAGCCATAAAATATTCACACGGACCTGTGCTCTACTTTATATTGCAACTCCTTGAATGATTCTTCAACAGCCTACTTAGTGATGAGAAGAAACACCAATACTCAATGTATTTATCATATTTAAACATTTTGTATATGCATCTGGAACATTTGAAGCATTATGAATGGAATTTCCTTAAATTATTTTCTTACTGAACCTCTAGCTACAGTTATACCAACACACCTCAGAAAGAAATTAGAGTATTTTTCAAGATATAAAAATTGAATACCTTCATTTCAGAAATTAAATACCTACATAATTATACATATGTCTATATAGATAGGTTTATAATGTACTCTAAGAGCCTATGAACATTGTTAATTATTTATAAGCATATTGATTTATTTTCAGCTTTTAGTCTCAACTTAAGAGGGTAAATTTGAGTGAACATTAATGTCAATCTTCATTGGATGAAGTGTTGCTTAAAGAAAACAATTCCCCACTGAAATGTATAAATATCCATACTTTTTAAGTGAGGCAATACTCTTAAACTTTTTCAAAGAATGAATCACACACAAAAGGAATCTTAGATAAGTCTGGGTTGTACAGAGCAGAATCTACTTCAGCCAGTATAAGAAAGAAAGGTCTTATCACAGGTAGAAGGTAGATTTGTAAATATTTGAAGAGGTTTAGGCATTTTTTCTACTTTAAACTTCCAGCAACAACTCTGGAGGAGACACTGGACAAACCCTAGAAACGCACGCTTCATCTAGGAAGCAGGCCCCCCACATCTGAGCAGAAAGTCACATGACTATTGCCCAGATCTGTGCCAGGAACACTGCTGCCGATACCCCCTTTCCCAACAAACAAAAACATCATAAAGATGATCAGCCTTCAGGAAATAAATCTCTATCTCCAGTCTGATAGAAAGAATGGCCAGGAAATCTGCTCTTTAGTTCTGTCCTACATAAAAATGGCAGGATTGTCCTATGAAGAAAAAAAAAGTTAGTATGTGTTCAAACCAAATTACGAGGGGCCATGCAGCCTCTTACCGTGAGGTCTGAGGTGCTTTGCCCGACACACTTTGCATGTTTCCCTTGCTGTAGACGATGCTCAGGTTGTTCCAGCACTCATCCAAAGATGGTTAAGAGCTGATTTGCTACCTTGCTCCCGTGATCTTCATGCTATTTTCAGTTCTACTCCCCTTCCAGTGGATCTGAAAAACTCATCATTAAATTACTGAGTTTACAACACAAATTCCAAACTGACATATTTTATTTGGTCAATATTAAATTTGTAACACTTTTTTTTTTTTTGTGTGTGTGTGTGTGTGTGTGTGTGTGTGTGTGTGTGTGTGTGTTTATTTGGTTGGTTGGTTGGTTTGGTTTTCTTGTTTGCTTCTTTTTTGAGGTGGAATCTCACAGGACAGCTAGGCCAGGCTTGCCTTAAGCATACTATGTGGTGCAGGCTGACCTGGAACTCATGGTTTTCCTTCTGTCTCTGCCTCCTATGAGCTGAGGTCATATGCTTACAGCACAATACCCAGTTCCTGCCATGGCTTTGTCTCTGAAGTACCATTTAACTCTCTTCTCCATCTGCTGCTTCTCTTCTTAGGGGACTGCCATGACTAGGGGAATATTTCTATGTCGTGTACTCTTGATACACCACAGTCTGGCAAAGTTGGAGCTGTTTCATCTGGCAAATTACAAAATGACTTGTTCTTTAGACATAACTGACTCTTTTGTTTTGGTTTTCTGTTTGTTTGTTTGTTTGTTTTTGAGACAGAGTTTCTCTGTGTAGCCTTGGATGTCCTGGAACTTGCTCTGTAGATCAGGCTGGCCTGGAGCTCATAGAGCTCCTCTGCCTCCAGAGGGCTGGGACTAAAGGCGTGTACAATCACCACCTGGCACTGGTATAGTGAATCTTGAAAGAGAGAGAGAGAGAGAGAGAGAGAGAGAGAGAGAGAGAGAG